CATCTGTTATGTTATTAGAAGACAGGTTTAGATCGGTTATTTTACTAGCCATGTTACTATGTACAATGTGATCCACCCCTACATCTGTTATGTTATTAGAAGACAGGTTTAGATCGGTTATTTTACTAGCCATGTTACTATGTACAATGTGATCCACCCCTACATCTGTTATGTTATTAGAAGACAGGTTTAGATCGGTTATTTTACTAGCCATGTTACTATGTACAATGTGATCCACCCCTACATCTGTTATGTTATTAGAAGACAGGTTTAGATCGGTTATTTTACTAGCCATGTTACTATGTACAATGTGATCCACCCCTACATCTGTTATGTTATTAGAAGACAGGTTTAGATCGGTTATTTTACTAGCTATGTTACTATGTACAATGTGATGTACCCCTACATCTGTTATGTTATTAGAAGACAGGTTTAGATCGGTTAGTTTACTAGCTATGTTACTATGTACAATGTGATCCACCCCTACATCTGTTATGTTATTGTGAGACAGGTCTAGCGAGGTGATGTGAATGTTGATTAAATATTTACACAAACACTTTACGTGATCATCATTCAAACCACACGACACCAGCCTCAGTCTAGTGATTGTGGAGTTTGAATGAAGAGATGACAACAATCTATTTAACATGGTAATGGTTATCTGTGAGTCATAAATGCCCAATGTGTGTGGTGGTGATGACTTGACACGAGTAAACCATGACAAAACAGTGTGTAATCTGTGTGGTGGTGATGATATTGATGTAGCAGTGGATTCTAATAACATAGCGAGTGCATCAAAGTCCGTGTCGGTTACACCATCTAATCCAATCCACCCATCACTAGTCCAGTATCTGTAGTCACGATTTGTAGTCAGTTCTTGTCGTGTGAATTCTTTCTCTAGGCCGTACTCATGGAGACAGCGCAATAACATAACGCGTTGTCTCCAATCATGCATCCCTTGTTTCCATACAGACTCTAGTACTTTCGACATACATTTATCGTTGTTGTTCTCCTGATCTAAACCCAACAAACCACTCGTGAATATGTGCACCATGTTAGAGGTTTCTTGTACCGCCATTGAGCGCTTCTTCACCAAATGACAAGCAACAAAAAACTCTTGAATGGTTAAATGTGAGAAACTATATTCAAGAGTTGTTTGTGGGAATGGAGAATCACTGGCAACAGGATAACAAAATATTAAATTACTTGATTTAAGGTAAGATATTTCAACTTCTGGTAATTTTAGCTTTTTTAAGTCTTGTTGAGAAAAAGTGAAACGATTTTGTTGATACAACTGTGCGGCTAGTTTAGAAAAATTATCCAAAGTTTTCTCAACAGCTAACAACAACGCTTCCTCATCTAGACTACGGATTTCTCTATTATTCCTCTCTAGACATCTAATAACTTCACAATAAAACTGTGTAAGTTTTAGAGGAATTGAATTATCTCTAGTAATGTTATTTTGGATTTCATACTCGATTACTTGGCACACGAACAAACACCTCAGAGGGACGCGACCAAATGACATGTAATGTGCGGTTGCTTTGACTTTCTCCATGGCCATCTTTTTTACTTCTTCTGGTTTAGAGTTAAAATACTTCTCAACATATTGAAGGACCTGTTCTTCTGAGAATCCCGTAATTTCCACACATCTGTTAAAGTGGAGTTTTTTGTCCAACTCGTCGGCTTCGCCCGGTCTTGAAGTTATTATGATGACTGAGTCGCGCAAGATCTTCCTTTGGATTAGTTTGCTGATCAGAGCAGCTACCGGCATCTTGGTTTTAGTATCATTTTCAAATTGTCTTTCAAAATCTCCCAATAATTCATTGTGGTCTTTGTATTCATCAAATCCATCGAAAATAATAAATAACTGGTCCGAGTGCTGAGCGATGTGTGCCATCACTTTCTCGTCTATCATGGTTCTTTCGTTCAACAGCGGGGAGAGGTTAAGCAGTTCTCTGAGGGTGAGCTCTTTGTTGCCAAGCATGACAAGTTGCCTGAACGTTATCAGGTAAGTAAATTTAATGTTAGGGATCGATATGCAATCTGTTGACCAGTCTCTGACGATTTTGTGCGAGAACAGTGTTTTTCCAATACCTGGTTCGCCTGAAACTAGAATTGACTTGGGATTCTCTTCTTCGTTTTCGCCACTGACAAATATCTCTGTGATTTCAGTCACGGTCTTTCGAGCGCATTGACTTTTTTCAGCTTTTTCTTGCAGAGATTTTTGCTTGCCTTGGTATACAGTTAAATTTGTGAAAATATCGTCAGTTTTCAGGGGCAGCCTTGATTGATCTYMRCTTCTRGGTAGCAAATCTGTTTGCTTTGTTATCGCTTCCTTGAGTTTGATGGAATACAATTCTACATCTAAAAAAAAAAGACAAGAAATTAATCGTAAATTAACCAAATACATTTATGTTCGCAGACATTTCTAATTGACATGCATTTTACCCAAAAATTGAGTCTCCAAGGTCGGACTCTCGATTTTAATGAAGCGCGTCGAATATAAAAAAATTATTCCTGAAATATTGTGAGGTATTATTATCTTTTACCTACCAATCCCCTTTTCTAAAATCAAAATAAATAACTTGCTATCAAAACAGTCACACTCAAAATAGAAGAGTATTCCAACTTGGTTCAAGTTTTAAATGATGCAAAATGTC